AAGAAAAAAGACGGGAAAAGCCCGGAATTTTCCGTTTCCTTTTTTCGCCTAATTAAACTGGTGTTGTAAAATGATCAAGTCAGAACATAGATAATTGGTTATGACAGGCAGCTTCTGAAAGTGAATTCAGATGGATTTGCATCATGCAGTAAATGAAATTTCTTGTCTTGGAATTGCAAAATTAGCCAATATCAGAACCTGTGATTACGGATCAAGCTGCAGTATACTTTGGAAATATGTGTTCATTTCATATTATTCAGTGATTTTTTACTTCATTGCTTCTTAGTTCTCGAACAACACCAAATTAGGTATGAATTAAAGATCAGTTCTTTTGGATTTTCACCGGTTCCTGACGGGCACGAGCTTGCAGTTTCGCTTTTTTTTGCTGGTTTTTGTTATAAAGCCCTAAAGTAGATCCGTTTTTTTTTTTCTTTTTATTTCGACTTCACAACTAAAGTGAAACTGAAGCCGAACGATTAAGTTTCGAGCACTCTTGTATAACGCTGATTTTAAGCTTTGCAACGGCGCCTTATGTCAAAATTTTAGAATTCCAGTCCAGTATTTTCAAACCAGGATTCTCATATGCATAAAGATATGACAGTATCATCCCCCTTTTGCTCAACACCCTTCTCCTCAGAGTAGTGGCATTGTTTGTTCTTATATAACGAAAATTGGCAACTAAAGGAAAAAAAAAACGTCTTCTTCTAGACTAGTTGCACTGTTGATTATGCTGGTACCTCAACATACGAAGGTGTTGGCGAGCATCCGAAAAAGCCAATTAGTCTGTAACTTCAATTTTGCCTTCCTTCGCTGCTTCCAGCCCATTAGGTAGTTTTGATAATGGCAAAATCTGAATTACTTTTTAAGCTGAGACTGAAAGTGTCATGAATTTTTTTTATAGCTTAACTAAACTAACAGAATGGGAATGCGTGCAGGCTGTGGTCTAGCCTCGGTAAAGACCAGCTGCACTGCAGTGCAGTTAAATTCACTGAAATCATGGGATGAAAAAATACACATCTTTCATAACTTCTCGAAAGACCCAATCGTTTACTCGTACGAATGCTCACAACATGAAATCGAGCTAGCTGTCACTTTCTCCTCGTTGTTTGTTTCAAACAGTCGGGTCATTCTCCCGTGGACGGTCGTTTTGGTGCTGGACTACTGCTTCATCCTCAACAGCTGCTTGGGGTGCGGCAAGAGGCTTACAGCTAGTGGTTACATAGAAGCGGGGTTCATTTCCAGCTGACCACTAGCAGCCGTTTTATGGATTTGCTATTTTGGTGGACGTAGGTGGCACAGACTGTGATTATACGGCTGTAAATGCTGCTGAGTCTCAGGTCACTAGCGCCTGTGGATATGTCTGTGTGTGAGTCACTGTAGAAAATAATTGGCAGGTGGAATGGAAAAGCGATTGTACGACATTGAATACGTGTCAAGGTCCCTTTACATTGCCTCACACGCACCTCCTCCACAGGCACACACGCATGCTGGACACAGCACATCCACTAGGAAATCTTTTTACGCGTCATCTATCTGAATGTTGCCCTTCCATTTTTTCATTTTATGCTAATGCAAACTGTGCGGATCTTTTGAAGCCACAAGCGTTTTTCCTGTTTGAAGCTAGTGCTCATTAGGGCTGCAATTAATAAATGGTTTGTTGTAGATTTGCGTGTCAGTTACTTGATAATTTAAAAATTTGCTTGAAAGGCTGGTACGATGCATAGTGGGCTGTTATGTTTCTTGAAGTCTCTCTCTCTCCAGTTCATCTGGGTGAGATAACTGGTAGTGATACGTCTAAGTCTGTTATGAATCCAAAGCGCAATTCAAGAATCTCCTCAAGTCATGCTTGGGAATCCGCAGGTTTCCATATTCCTAGCATCGCTTACAACTACCGATTTGACAAAGTAGTAGTCAAAAAAGTGTTTTTAAGCCCATAACTTATGGAACATTGCTCGTTTAAGTCTGCTGCAGAGAATGATGAACTTCGTCAGTGATGCGTTTAACTGTTGAAACCACGCGAAACGAGGCAATGGAAAGCGTTAAATGCACTGAAAATTTTTCATGCGCATTCCTACAGCGTTTCGTCTTCGAACACATAAAGTTGTGAGTGGAATGAAAGTGCTTATGAATGGCGAGGCATGGCTCTGACGGTATTTAGCGCAGAGCGATAACGCACTTTACAAGGCCAAAACAGCAGGGAGTGGAGAAAAAAAGAAAATGTTTGCCTCAACTTGTATCAGGTTGGTTTTCAAGTAGAGAATGCATCAGAAATATGTCAAGGGTGCTACTACTACCTCAAATCTACTGCACAGTAATACTGCGCTTTTTCGACGATCACACATTAGCAGCCAGAGCAACCGTTGGTGGTTCAGTCAAAATTCTTCTGGAAAGAGTACTTCTGCAGAATTTGGTAAGCCATGCCTTCAGCAGCTTTTGGAAAGATACACAGAAATTAACTGATATTTATGAAATACAGCCCTAAGACAATAAATTACGGCATAAAGTACAGTGAGTCATGTAAACAAAATGAACTATGCGAACTTGTGCAAAAGTTAATACAGTCAGAAAAAACTAGCTCGCGACATCATCTTCCCATTCGGTCAGCATCTGGGAGACAGAAGCTTTTAAACTTCTACGGTAACTACAAAGTAAACA